CACGTTTATTTTTTTTTTTTCTTGAACTCCGATTCTGCACGATTTTGCCCCCCTGCTTCAGGGCTAAAGTAAGAGGGTACAAAAAAAACCGCACAGGGTACATTCAAGTACTCAATGAGTACAATCCAAACCAACAAAAAAAAGTTAGATTTTTCAAACTTCGATGCCAACTTCACATAGCTAAAAATGATGGGTTATTTTTTGAGGACCTCATTACAATTTGACTCTGATTTCAAAATTTTCCACAAAATGTCGAACAAAAAAAAAATGCCAGGGTCTAGATGTGGGTGTTGAAGCGAAAGTTTTACACTTTATTCAGGTTTATTGCCACTCATGTGGAGGCGTGTATCGCAGGTATGGGTTAAAGAGTTGTTCATGGATTTTTTTTTCGATTTCTCGTTGCATCCACTGGTATTTCTGCACTTCAACAGTCTCATTGGCTTTGATACACCGATGAAAACATCTTTCTCCCCTTCGACTCTCTCCAGATCGCCTCGACGAATTTCAGATTTTCCCTAACATTTCAAATATAATTATTGCACAATGCAATTTACGTAATTAAATTTTCTTCTTTTAATGCAACCCCAAATTTCGAATAATTATAATTAAAAATGTTGAAAATGCTATGAAAAAATTGAAAAACGTAGAGTCAGTGGCTTCGAGTAACTCCAACAATTCCGTAATTACAAATCCCACACAAATTCTATCCACTTCTCTCTGGAGTTCCCCTCCCTCGAGAGAATCAATCTCCAAGGCGCACACTTACCTTACCAACACTCAATGCCCCTCTCCATTTTACACCTTCTTCGTTCACAATCGAAGAGACTACCTTTATCCAAACCCTGATGTAGAAATTCTATTGCCAGTCGGTTCCGCTCTTCCTGAGCTTCCGCTTCGCTCCCCCCCTAAGTCCTCAGCAACCCCTAAACAATTGTTATTTAAAAAATAAAGGTAACACCTGCACCTCCAAGTGATTATCAAATGAAACAATTAAATCAGCTGAGGAGCTGTCGTTTGACGGATAGATTAAAAAAAAATTGAACTGCAAGACAATTTATTGAATTAATTATTCTTATTGACAATTGAACAAATTAATTGCTCAAATTATACATTGTTATTGTCATTATTATTGTATTTAATGCAATAGTTAGTTTGAATTATGAGTGATCGGTGGAGGTTGTGGATCAGGTGATAATTCTTCATGGATTTTTAATTAGTTTTCGGTGTTCTTCAGTGTCATACAGCCAGGAATATCGTAAAATTTATGTGATAACTATGTGTTGATGTGCAGTGAGAATAGTTGGATCAGAATTATTTTTATTTGCGGAGGTGTATCTGAAAATGGCAAGTGAGGTCATGCTTGCACCGAGGACGACGCCAAAGCCGTCATGTCCTGGGGACATTGATGATGTCGTTGATATATTCAGGAATGCTTCCGTGTCCACCATTTATGTGAGTCCTTCAATCTTCATCTTGCCTGTCTCTTCGTGTCTAGGAGGAAAATTTATTTTTATTCGGCGGATTATTCTTTTGGGTCTTGATAGTTCGGATTGTTTAGAGGGTTAATTCATTTTGAAGGATTGAAAGATGGGGGATAAATAATGATTGTTGTCGATGTGACATGACAGTGTTGTCACTCACGTGTGACCAAGAATGGGAATGTCAAGGCACTGATCTCACACGATATATGATGCGGTCACGGGCGCTGGACAGGAGATCAAAACAAAAATGATATGAGACATTTGGGGGAAACTTGAGGCTTTGCTGAATTACCAGATTGACCGGTCTCAGAAATGAATCTAGAGGGGGCCTTGTGAATTAAAATGTCTAGACCAGTCAATGATTAATAATAACTTTTTGGTAATCACTGACTTCTGAAATATTTAGAAATATCTTGGAAACTAAGAGGATTACGGCAAAATGTCAGATGAACATTTTTTTAAAGAATTTCATTGCTCAGAAAAAGTTCTCATTGTGTTTTTTCGTAAATTCAGTGGTTTTCGAGTTATGCCCAGAAGTATTGGTGAAAAAATTTCCAGTGGAGAAAATGAATCTGAAACTGCAAACAAATTCTGATTAGAAAACGAGAAATATCTCGAGAACCATGGAATTGAGGGTAAAATGACAAGACAACTTTTCTCTTGAGAATGAAATTTTCAAAATACATGTATATCACACCTTTTGACGTAAACCCAATGGTTCTCGATATGTATTTATTTTTCTAATCATGCCTCTGGCATTCTGACTGGCCTCCCTTCACCAGTGAATTATAAGTAGACCAACGGCAAACGTGAATGGTATTTCTATTCTCACGAGACCCGGAAGAGAGGTACCTAGAAATTCAATACACTCTTTCATTTATCCCTCGAGTAATAACCCATAAACTCTTCAACAACGTTCGATAGTAATCGACTGTAATCCACTGGCCCCGAGTGATTCCCATTGAATTTATTAAACTGTGATTACGAAATGGCCTCTCTTGTATTCTCCATGATTTCACATCAACCAAAACAAGATGTGTGTGGGTTTGTCCTTTAAAATTGACTATCCTCGATGGGTCTCTTGAGGCCAGTCATTTTCCGCTCGATAAATGTCTCGTACTTGTCGATTCAAAGTCTTGTACTCCCATCATTATTCTTGCGTGAAATATTCCCCCGATTTTCGGTAATCTCCAATTTTCAAAAAACTTCTAATTATCTCTCGGTATATCCCGAATCCTCAATCAATTCCCCCCATAATTAATCATCCATTCAATTATTTATAATTAAAACTCTGGATTCTAATAATTTTTCAATGAATTTTTTTGGATAATAATCCGTGATTCAATGAGAATCCAAGAATTAATGAATTCCAGTGGGAAATTGATAGGTCTGTGGAATTTATCAAAATTTATTAATTTCTCCTTCAATTAATATTTATTACACTATTTTTCACATTATTATTATAAAAATGAATGATTTTTCAATAATTACCAAAATTGAAATTTCCAAAAAATAAAGAAAAATGTCAGAAGAAAATAATTCGATGGGATATATCGAGAATAACTCGAGAATTGTCGAAATCGTGTGGGTTAGGAATGAAGTTTCCACCTACATACAATCAGAAACCCGTACACTTTCAATCTCGATCATAATTCACAACTTAATGCGTCTCAACATGAATTTTTACCGAATACAATCTCCGATAAACCCTGAGAAATCATTAATTGTCCAGTGATTCACATTTTTCATTCAATTGATCGACTGTCGGGAGAATCCCCTAGATAATTCTGAAGTGTCTTTCCGTTTTTCTTCGCTGTTTTTTTTTTTATCAATTGTTCTGTGGTTTCGCTCAATTATTACAAGCATCACCCACTGATTAAATTCATTGAGTGCATCGTGGCTTTACATTTCACCTTGTGCTCATTTCCGTGGGACAATTGGAGATCTCTATCTGGATTGAAACTCGCTGTCTTTTTGGTGGGGGACTTGTGGGATTATTAGAAATTTCCTGGCATTTCAAAGTCACTTTTACTCTCGTTATTTCTTATGTTGGAACCATCAGGGGGTGGGATGATGTGGTGATTTGGGAGGAGATGGAGAAATGGAAATTATGACTTGTCAGATTAGGGGCATGGAGTCTTGTTTCGGTGGTCATTTCTCTCCTGATCTCATCTTTTCAGGGGGAAAGTGATTTTTTTTTTTTAATCTCTCAATAAAGTCGATCTTTCATTGATGTAAACATTCGATTTTTACTGTCAGTTGCGGATTTATCATCTTCAGTCCAAATCGAAATGATTGAATGAATGAATTAATTAATTCGGGGAATTTCGATCTTCGCTGAATTTATGCAGAGAATATTCCAATTATTTTTTAGGGATTATTATTATTATTCATTTATAAATTATTTGGAATTCTCAATATTGGGAGTTGTTCCCAATTGGGAGTTGTTTTGAATTTTTAGTTTATTTTCTGATGGATTTATCATCGCCTACTGCGCGAATATATCTGGAGTTCTGTTTTCATTTTGAGATGATCTCCAATTCTGACAGAAATTGTTTGCGAGTCGTTAGAATATCCCCGGGGTATCACTCATCAGCATTTGAAACTCAAGATGATTCTCAAGACGAGACTAGACAAGACTCCTAGGATTGCCATGAACTCGTGTGCAGGTGTATAAATAGTTTTCATCGTCGATCAAGTGAACCATTCGATTCAATCGACTCTCTCTCGTTCACTCGACTCTGAGTTTTGAATTTTTTTAGCTTCATTTTTCATTTTGTAATGATCTCCTTTCCGGTCCTGTGAGTTCACTAGATCCAGTGCTCGTGCTCCTGGGGATTTATTTTTTCTTTTTCGATTTCCTGAGGTGAAATATTTCGATCACGTTTTTCTCATCATCATCTCGTGGATTTAACCAATACTGTTATCCTCGTTCAGATACCGTTTGAATTCTTCGGGTTATGATGCACTTTGTTGTACTCCGATTATCTTTAATTGTGGGTGGATGGATTAAGTGAATTGGTAATCGACCGTGAGGTGCGTTATTAGGATTTTTTGAGGAATTTTAATTCGCTATTGAGTAATTGTGGAAATTTTGTTTTTTTTTTATTGCTCTCTGGTGCAAATCGATCGATGGAATTTTTAATAGTATTTATTTATCAATTCAATTATTTTTAGACGATTTAAAAATATAATTATAATTGAAATATTTACTGGTTTATTTTTGAAATTGATTTCTCTCAATGATTGAATTTCAATGAATTTTTACGATAATTCACTGCAATTCATTTTTTTTTCTCTCGTGCTAGAAATGAAAAAATATGGATTTTCTCGATTTTCGTCGATGTTCTTTTTGCGGTAGGAATAAAAAATATAATGAGTGGGTGGAAATTCCTGAAAAGTACGTAATAATAAAATCTTAGACTGAATCCGCTGAGACGTCGCGCTGACTTCATTCTTAATTGCGGCAAATGGGTTTAATGACCGAGCGTCGGTGCACACACCAGAATTAAATATTCAACCGGAGAAAGTGGACCATGAGGAAGTCCGTGGGGATGATGTTGATTTTGGAGACACAATGATACCGTAAATGGTGGGATCCGCCGGGGCCCATCAACGGGAGAAAAAAAAAAACCATTTTCGATCAGAGTCATTGGCCGGAAATTTCAATTAAGAGTCGACATGGTTTAGTAAACAGGAATAAATTAGAGGTAGATTGATGTTGGGAAATTTTAGTATTGAAATATTTCCAAGGAGTTGAGACAGCTGATGAAGAATTTTTATTTCGACTGGAAAAATCCACGGAATTTCTCCAAATTCAGAGAAAACTTGATACTTTCATTTTCTCATCAATTCTCAAGCTTTCAATGGTACTTTGAATTATCGAAATTTTCAAGGACAAGTAGTAACCGTCATTTCAGGGTATAATTTGCGATTTTAGAGTGGAATTTAGATTTTTTTTTGGAGCGGGGATGTTGTAAAAATCGGGAAAATCAAATGAAGCTGACCATAATCCTTCGATATTTTTCAATAAATCATAAAAGCCCTGGGACATTAAAAAATCACAAGCGAACATGAGTATCTGCGAGAGTAACAACCCCACGTTAAACGGTTAACGTAATCATCGGTGCGTGCAATGACGATCCACATACGAAACAGTGCGAGTTCCTCAGGCACGAGCCATCCTCTTATCCTTTACAGTAAAACTAGTCTGCGAGTGATGTTCAAGCACATTTGATGGTTTCTCTGGTTTTTAACGATAAATTGTGATGAATAATTGAGAAAAATGTGAAAAATCCGTGGAAATCGGTGAATTTTTCATAATCATGTGTCGTTTTTTGTTGTTTCCGATTGATCTGGTCGTCGAACTAGATATTACACGGGTGAACACATGATTTGGATACTCAAACTCGTTCTGGTAAGCCCTTTCAGGGTTTCATTGACCTTTTTATAAAAAAGTTGACCTCTTCAGGGCTCTGATGAACACCCCGATGATTTTTTCAATTCGACTTCCCACTGTGTCGATTTTTCAAAGAATATCTCGAACTCTAAGAGAGATAGCACAATTTTTATTGGGACCTTTTTTGTGGAGTGAAATGAAAGCTCGAGAAAAGGTCTTGGCAAACAATGCCCTATCTCTTCAGGATTGAGAGATAATCAACAAATACGTGAGGATTAGCTGAATCGACTTGGCAACAAGTCGATCGGACGAGTAGTTCAGTTTTCGGAGAATAGCGATGAATCTTGAGGAGATATCGTTATTTTTTGTAGGACCTCTTTTTTGGGGCGCAATGAGAGCTACAAAAAGTGTTATCACTTGAATTTCGGTATTCCTATTAGTTCCCGAGATATTTCGCGAAATCGAGTTGTTGGCTACTGATTTGATATGGTGGACGAGTCTCTCGACCAGTTGAAGGGAAAGGAATGTTGGAAGATGCTCTCGGGTGGATAATTGCGGTGGTGCAGGAACTA